CAGTACTCTGTTTCTATTCTGGTGCCTTCAATCACCACACCAGATGACTCTTTATAAAATATTGTTAGCATTTCCTTTCCATGGCTTAAAAGAAAGGAAGAATAAAGTATATAAATTTGACAATAACTCAGCATTCTGTTTACAGTGGCCAAATGTATACACTGAATTATACCTTAAATTTTATAAAGCAAAAACATATCAGATTTCATTCTTTTTATTAAATGCCTTCAAATGCATTACTAAAGACAAAAAGTACAATAATCAATATTTATAAATTGTATAAAAGTTACAGACACTGCTGACAGTAATGGGGCATGCTTAATTAATTGACAGTAATCTGCTGTCATTCTCCTTGTCCTGTCAGCTTTTTCAGAGACCATGCAACAAAATTAAAACGAGATACATCTAGCCTTAAAATTGCAACTTTCAAAAGCCCTCCTGTATGATTTCAGATATCTCTTTATTGCCCACCTCCCCTTCAGTCAGTATTGTTTAACTGTATTGTGGGGGTATTTTCAAAGGTGGTGTTGTGGCCTGTTGGCTGCCGGTCCTTCCAGCAGCCGAATCAAATGAGGGAGTAATGGTCAGCATCAAGGCAACCTGAGGGGGAAGAGGGAATGGAGCTGGAAGGGAGAGAGACAGAGGCGGAGCCTGGGCCATCCATCAGCCCTCAGATGAAGAGTCAACAGCCTCCAGGTCTGGAGGTGGCTGATGAGGAAGAGGAGGAACAGCTGGGTCCAGTGCCTGATGTGCAGATGTTCAGAAGGCAGAGGAGAAGAGACCTGTGCTTCTATAAGTAAACTGGTGTTGATCAAAATTTAGTGGAACACAGGACCTGAGGTGTTGTAGAACCAGTCTCTCAAAGCACTTCATCATTATAGATGTCAGTGCAATTGGTCTATAGTCATTCAGGCTGTTTATGGCTGCTTTCTTCAGAACTGGAATGATTTTGGCTGCTTTCAAGCAAGATGGAACTCTAGCCAATTGCAGGGAGATGTTAAAAATCCTTGTCAGGACCCCTGTTAATTGGTCACCGCAGGTTTTTACCACTTCCCACAGCACTCTGTCTGGACCTGCAGCTTTGTTGGGATTTATGGATTTCAGCATAGCTCTCACTTCATGTTCATGCAGGGTGAGTGACTGAAGATTATAGGGCCTTTGAGCTAGAGCCCCAGAGACAGGTCTTTTAACCTCAAAGCAGGCGAAGAAGCTATTCCTCCTCCAGCAGGGCATCAGATATGGATGTGGAAGACAACTATTCATCTCCCTACTGGACAGACTTGTTAGCCTGTGGTGAAAGAGAAACCTTTTGCTGGGGCTGCTGGGGCTCCTAATAAAGGAATCATTGCTTCAACTACAGAAGGTTTGTCATGTTTGGGGAGCTGGGTCAATTTTGCTCTTCCCACTTAAAATAGTTGGAATTTCAAAAGCAAAATGGTACACTGGGGTCTGGAATAATCATAAACACAATAGATTAGTAAATTGTTAGGGGTAAATTAGGGTGTTGGTCTCCAGGGATTCCTGTCTTTATTACCCTTACCACTGGAATCTTACCGCCGCTAATGCAGAGGCTGGGGCATCTTCCACTCCCAATTTCTCTTCTAGATAGAGAGGGACAAAATTGCTCTTCAGGTGGGGCAGTTGGGATAGTTTCCCTCACCTGTGCATTTTCATGACCCCTTTTCCCCATCAGGGGAACATTTTTCTTTCCACCTTTTATACTATTCTAAGTTTGGAAGGCAATGTATATCTGCTTTTGGCCCACATTTTTAAGAAGTTCTATAAACATTTTACCTGTGAGATTCTATTATTGGATTCTCTTTTCTCAAAACTGTCTTCCTCCGTAGCTACTTGGGTACAAGGCTTGGGAGCCTTGCATCTCCTAATTCAGGGATGGCTAACCTTTTTGGCACTGAGTGCCCAAAGGACATGTGCGTGCACAAATGTGCTCGCACGTGTGCATGTACACACCCATAATGCAATGTGCATGCTCCGCTCCCATGCATGGGTGCGCAATCTCCTGCATGACCTCGCCCCGCATGTGTGCGCACAAGACCCCCCATGTGTGTCCCGCCTCTACACATGCACGCTCAACCACTCGTGGATGCCCCATCCCCATATATGCGTGGCAGAGATCCGAAAACCAGCTGGCCAGTGGGAGGCATGTGTGCATGCATGATGGAGCTAAACTGGGGCAATGGCTATAATGCCCGCATAGAGGGCTCTGTGTGCCACCTGTGGCATGCGTGCCATAGGTTCGCCATAACGTCCTAATTTCTCTATCAACACTATGACCTCCACTATCAATATTCCCAGCCCTGGATTTATCTGGGGATTATGCATATAGGAAGGAGTTCCTTTCATTAAATGGGCCTCTCCTAGCTTCTGCCTATTAATATCTTAGACATGTCAACTGATTCTAGCCAGGGATGAAGTGTTTCCAGTTCAGACCGGATCACCCGATCCGGTAGCGATGGAGGCAGGTGGTTTGGAGAACTGGTAGCACGCCCAGCTGAGCTGCACAATCATCAGAGGCTTTTTCTTTTAATTTTTAAAAGCATTTTTTCTACAACCTTTTCGGCCGAAAAAAATGCTTTTAAAAGTAAAAAAAAAAAAAGCTTCTGATGATCGCGCAGCTCAGCTGGGATAGTCAAAGGGATCATCCCAGCTGAGTTGCCTGATTGGCAGAGGCTTTTTTTTTAAAAAAAAAGCCTCTGCCGATCAGGCAATTCAGCTGGGATCGTCAGAGCCTTTTGAAAGCATTCTTTTACAACCTCTTCACCGAAGAGGTTATAGAAAAAATGGTTTTAAAAGAAAAAAAATTGACCATGCCCACCCAATCACATTACCCCACCACCATCAAGCCACGCCCACAGAACCGGTAGTAACAAACTTTAGATTTCACCACTGATTCCAGCTGAGTATAATCTCAACCAGTCCATGTTGTTTGAGCAGTCTCTGGATTGCCAGGTGGCCTTTTAGGTTTATTAGTGACCAAGAGTTCTATGTTAGCCACCCAAACATTCTCAATTCCTTTACCCTCTGTCAAACTGGATTCCTCATCATCAAATCCCACCTATCTCCATGTCAGATTTCTACATTTCACTGCTGGGATGAGATAAGAGGTCTATCTTTATAAGGATTGGGTATGTACCCTTTCTTCAACTGTTTATGGTGCTTTAACTTTAATTTTGCAATCTGAACAGCTATAGTTACTGCTTATCCCTGTGCTGAATTCCTCCTATGCACATTCGAGTGCCTCTCTTAAAAGGATCTACTGACTTTTAGAAGTAACGATTTCTTCAGCTTGCTGCTATACCTTTCACTGAGAAGCTTCTAATTGCTCCCAGGCATTATGGAGCATTATTATTATTAGCGGGCTGGGAGTTTGGCAGCCCTGGACTAGTCCATCCACTTATTTCTTCCCCGTCTTCTCTCCTACTCCCAATAATGATATGCATTGAAGTTTTGCATTAGTAGAAGAGTCTCTAAATTGTGCCAATTTCTGTAGGCATGTAGATAAGATCAACTGGTGGTTTAGGTTTTGAGCCACTGGCCCCCAGACATTATGCTGAGTCAACCAGTGATATAATTCTGCCATCATTTCCTTGATTTGCAGATTTTCTTTCCCAGAACCAGCACATTGTCACTGGATCCCATCTTTGTTACCAATAGTGTTTTGCCAAGTGTCAGGGCAATGATCACATGCCCAGGCAATTGATTATTCTCAACATAGAGACTCCAGTAAATAAAAGGATTTTAAGCTTTATCCCAAACAAACACATCTGAAAGCATAACTTAAAAAGCATACATACCAAGCAAGATAATATTATAAATCTCTTACAGGCTGTCAGGAGCTCCTTAATAAATAGAGATGCCTCAAGCACAATTAATTTTTCAACAGTACCCAGCACTAGGTTCCACTGCAGAAGCTCCCCACTAATAACAACCCCATAGTTTTTATAAAAACTTGGCACCATGACTTCATGGTCCAGCTGTGGTAAGGAGACTGCAAGACCTGACCTTGACTTGCTGGCACATAACTCTGGGATGGGAATTGAAAGTGTGAGACTGCCATAGGAAGAAAAGCTTTGAAGTTACATGAAAATTTCCCCCCACCTTCTATGTTCAGCAAGCAAGAGTGAATACAAGCAGGCTACCTCAGAATAAGCTCTACGTTTCTAGACTTTTCTTAATAAATCAATATATGTCACTAATTCCTTGCTAATCCTAATAATAATGTTTGTCTGCATTGCCTCTACAAACTATCTGAGCAATGAAAGTTTTAAAAAATCAAGATTTTCAGATATTTTGGATCTCCATGTGCCCTTAATTTTGAGCCCAAATATTTACTTTCCCCACTACCCTTTCCAGTCCTGCTCTTCTGTTGCTTTTTCTGTGACTGACCTCTGAGAGGGTGGGTGGGAGAAATCTGCAAATACCATCATTGTGAGGGAAAAAACCAGTTGACTGTGAACATCTTCCTGAATTTCCAATGAGACTGGATTCTGAACGGGTCTGAAGAGCCCAATTATATTTCTGATTATATGAAACCCTGGATGCCTAAGGTTATCAGCACCTGCAACTATACATATTCAACATTTCTTCCAATAGGTGGGAGAACCACCTGGTGCTGGCAGCACTGCGCCAAATCAAACTATCAAGGCCAATAAGAAGAGGAAGGCTAGTATGAGAAATACAACTCTAAATGTAGGCATTGATCATGCATGACAATGGTGTCCTTCAGTATCATTATCAAAGAAGCAAATTATATAAATATGTGCTACAGATGAGTTCCACATTCACATTTGCATTTAATACATTGGATAAATGGCTTACAAATATCAATATTTCAGATCCATATGTTCATTCCCCTGTAAATATTCACTTTTATTTACTTTTTACTGAACATTCACTTGTTCAAATATGAACCTGTTCAAAAATTAATCTCATTTAAAATAATATTGCTTTTTATACTACTGTTTTTGTCTTAATTTCAGATCATTAAAAAATTAATTGAAAGGAAGCAAGCACAGATTCAGAAAGTTTATCCTGGCCTTTCTTGTTTCAAAGATGGAGTACGACAGATTCCAATAGAAAGTATTCCTGGAATTAGTATGTACCCTGTGCTTTTAGCTGTTTGTTATATTGCCAAGGTCATGTTTAATGATTTTTACCCTTTTCTGCAAATATTGGTTTAATTTAATTTTAAACTACTGGATTCTCTTCTCCAGAAATGATATGGCTCTTGGTTATTTATAAACTTTTACTGACATTATGTATTTTAATTGTGTATCGTGACAGGATTCTTTATTTTCTTGTTATTAGCCAGAATTAATACATAAATAATTACCATTACTTTTATACTTTAGGAATTGAAAGCTGGTAGAGTTCTGATGCTTCCTTGACTGATTTGTATGTAGATATTAATTAATTGTTGGGAATTTGTTCTTTAAGATATTCAGATATATCTGAATGTTGGCTTATCCTCTAAAGCAGGGGTGTTAAACTCGTGTTCTCACATGACGTATCGGGACTTGTCTCCCCTTTGCTAAACCGGGAGTGGGCGTGGCCAGCTCATGACGCATCCGGCCCACGGCCCATGAATTTAACAGCCCTGCTCTAAAGCAGAGTATATGGATTTAAGACCATACATTGTAACTTATTATTTTTTATTTACCATTTGCTTTAATTTTGCTTCATAGGAGAGACTGGCTGGAAACCAAGTAACAAAGAGAAGGGGTAAGCATTGTTGAGTAAAATAAATTAAATAAAACTCTTTTCAAATTGACTATTAATACATTCCTTAAAAATAATTGAATCTGTATTTCTAACAGCAGAATATAGAGTTTTGTTATTATCATTGGTAAGTTAGTTAAAATAACCGTACAGACCATACATTTTAATCTTGTTTGCATTTTGTTTTAAGTAAAGAAACCAAAGATCTGGATCAACTTTACAGCACGTTAAAAAACATTCTACAACAGGTCAAGGTATGTTTTGTTTCTGTAAATCTCATGAAATGTTTTCTGATATAAAACATTAATCAGTAATACTTTTTTTCCTAGAGCCACCAAAGTGCTTGGCCTTTCATGGAACCAGTGAAGAGAACAGAGGCTCCTGGATATTATGAAGTTATAAGATTTCCTATGGGTATTGCCATTAGTATTTTATAAAGGCCTTTACAGAAAGTGAAAATAAAATTTAAAATATGGAACTGTAAAAGCATGCGGATCTGCGTACCTTCCGTCGCGCGCTTAAGACCTTCCTATTTCACCAAGCCGGCCTGACCTAAGTCTTTCCCCTTTTTAAATGGAAATTTTAAATCTGGTTTTAAATTATTGGGGTTTTAAATTTGTTCAGCCAAATTATTTAATTCGTTTTAATCTATTTTAAATTTTGTATTTATATGTTTTATTTCATGGCTGTTCACCGCCCTGAGTCCTTCGGGAGTAGGGCGGTATACAAATTCAATAAAATATAATATAAATATAAAATATGCTTGTTCCATCAATTTTGCACAGCCATCAGAAACTTTTTTTTCAGTGTAATGTCAGTTTAGTGATACTTGCATTAGAAAAAGGAGATATGTAGGAAAATGATCTTGAACATCTTGTGTGGGAGCTCATGCAAGGGATTTTTCTGTTTGGGTTCACCTGTGTCATCAGCACTCAGAAATAGATTGTAAACAGGAGAGCTTTCTTCTTTGCCCAAACAATAATTAGGTAGTTTAAAAAGCAGCATTCTCCTCCAGTGAGATGATTTTTACTCACCCCACTCCTAAAAACAACAGAATACCTGCCAACATTCATTTTTTGCAACTGGATGGCAGATTCATAATTTATAAAGAATGATGGTTCAGCTGCAAAAAGGAGGCAAGTGTGTGATTATATAAACCATGATTTTATGTAGCACTGAAATAACTGAAGTTCAGTGATTAGCCATTTTTTCACTGAAGAGGGGGAAACACAGAACCAAATGATATTATAGTAATAAGATGTTTGTTGTTATACAGATCTGAAAACTATGAGTGAACGACTGAAGAACAGATACTACGTATCTAAGAAATTATTCATGGCAGATATGCAGCGAGTGTTTACTAACTGCAGAGAGTACAACCCACCTGAAAGTGAATATTACAAATGTGCCAATATACTGGAGAAATTCTTCTACACAAAAATTAAAGAAGCTGGATTAATTGACAAATAATTTTTTTCTCATACAATTAAGATGCCTAATGTAACAGCAAAATATGCAGTTCTTTCACTAGATTTGAAACTTGTTTATAAAATAAAACTTTCTTAACTAGCACTTTTAAACATGTATTATAGAAGAGTTTATTTTATTAAAGTATTTTTAAATGTACACTTGCATGCCCTTTTGCGGTGTATTCAATTTTTATTAGATGTATTGCACAAACTTTTTGGAGATTTGGAAAGGGTAAATTTCCAAGCAGTGAATGTTTAAGCTTAATGTATCAGATTGAAAAATGGATTATTTTTACAGCAAAGATGTTAATGAAAGGGGAAATGAATTATATATTATGAATTATATATAATATATAATGCTAATACATATACAATGAATATATTTTATTTTCACACACACACACATACATAGACACACACACACAGAAATAAAACATTCACTAAGAGAAGGTGCTTAAGATATAAGAAAGGAATTCCATTAGGTGGAAGTTTAATTTCTTCTGTGAATTTGGTTCTTAGAATGAAGGCAAATACACATGTCCCAGGATGTTGCAGGATGCAATCTGGGGCAGTCACTGGGACCAGAGGGTTTTTTTTTTTTGCTTTTAATTTATATGCCGCCCTTCTCTGGAGACTCAGGGTGGCTTACAATGTGTTAAGCAATTTAGTCTTAGACTTGTGCTGGACCCATTTTCAGGGCTGAGGATGGGTTTTTGAGGATGGGTTCCAGCACAAGTCTGAAAGCTCAGAAGACTAGTCCAGATTGGATCTTGGTTCCTTATATTTACATTTCAAGGAAAATGTAGCATCATTTTCACTTAGGTCAAGTTCTGAAAAGAACATCAGACTTTGTGTTAAACTCCTAACTTTTGCTTAATCTTTTAGTAGATTTAGAAAAGTACTATTTCTACTATTGAACCCAATCTAGCAATAGCTTTGTCTTTACACATTAGTATGAATCTTTATGCATGAAAGCCATTTTGCAAAAAATACATTAGGTGCTGTAATGAGTTGGTGGAATGGACAATAATTTGAATAGCCCCGAGTATAGTATATGTTAATAAATGCATACAACTAAAGCATACCTCCCTGAAGAATGTGTACTTAACTAAACAATAAGGTCAGTAATATCTGATTGATAAGAAACCATATTTAATTTTAGTGCAGATGAGAATATCTCCCACTTAACTGTAACAGAGGCTGATGTGCATAGTTTTTCCATAGCTATCTGCATTGTAGAGTTATACGAAACATACTGAAATCTGAAAGCACAACTAACAAGATTGATAGATTTTAGTGGCTAGTTCAGAATTTGACTGCATCCAGCCCAATGCCACATAGCATACAATTTGGTTTGTGTCTTGCCATAGATAAAATAATTTTATAAAAGCAGCTTTGAGTAGATTTTTATCCCACTGTTAACTTCTACTTGGACTAATACCAGTTTTTTTAAATTAGGAACTTGAATTTTATTATTAATTCCATATATATTTGAGCTACTTCTTACATTATACATAAGAAATAAACTTCATTTGATATCATTAGTTATTAGGGAAGCCATACTCATTAACCACTCAGTTCTACAATGTATCTCAACACTGGAGGGGAAAGTAAGATACCCCTAGTATGTGTGTGTGTGTGTACACACACATGTACACACAAAGACACTGTTAATGCTGAAATATTTCACTAGTAAACTTGTAGAAAGTAACAAACGACATTACAAAGGAGCTTTTTTGGCACAATGCCTGTAGTAATGTTTTATTCTGATTAGATGAACATTGCTAGAAGGAAATGGTACATAATAGACAAAATAGTAATATAGAAATGCCTTAGCGCTTTATATAAACCAGAATGAGCTTTGTATTTAAGGTACAATGATGCAACTTTGTTTTAGAATATTTAAATAGTAATTTTCATGTATTTTGTAAACTGGGCCAACAGTCACCTCTAAAGCTTGATATCCTGTGAAAGTGTTATTTTCAAAGATTCTTATTGTCTTGAAATTAGAGTCTCTTCTATATTGAGAACATTTGGTTTCTAATTTAAAGATTATTTTCATAGATATTGTGCAATAAAGTTATACACAGTATGTGTTTAAATACTTTAACTGAAATTTTACATTTGTAAAATTATTTATTGTACTGGTATAAAATGGTTTTAAATTATATGTATAACATTGATCTTGTGTGCTATTTTGTAATTTGCATATAAAAATACCAGACATACTCATTGTTTGTAGAGTACCTCTAATTTTATGAAATGGAATATAAGTATACTATAACACCTTCAGGTAATAAGAACTGGAACTCACTGTGCAGTAGCAAATTCAATGGAATTTCTAGTTTTCATAGAAATTAATATAAGGTTTCAAGTGAAATCAAAACATGTTATTTATGACTTACATCTATTTAGAAAAACTAGTTAAACCCCTGATACCATAGACTTACAATCTAAAGACACAAAAGACAAGAAATAAGCAATTTTGGATATAACTATTAGTTAAAATTCTTATACTAAAAGTGAATACTGGTATGTATAGGTTTCTACTTATCTTTCTCTTTGCTGTAAGTGCTATCAGAAGACTAATAGTTGCCTTGAAATAAATGAATAAAAATACTAGCATATAACTTTAGATACATCACATCACAAAAGACTTATGACAATGTGGAAATTGGATAGCTGTGAAATATAAACCATCTCACATTTATTCAGAACTCCTAGAGAGTTCATTGGTATTTATTCCTAATAAACCTACAAGTTAACATATTAAGCTTATTTTTTTACAAACTGTTAGAATAGTTGCAAGAATATGGAGGCTGAAAACATGCTAGTATTGATAATTAAACCAAATTACCTTTAATCAAAATTATTCAAAATTTTATTATGACATATAAGTAATAATTCAGAAAGTACAACACAGTTTAACTTTATTTCTAATGACAGACTGTTAAAATGAACTATTTGTTATCAAATAAATGATAATCTGCATTAAACCTATTATTTTCTATCATGTTCAGGAAGTAGCTATTAAAATAATAATAGGTTATTCACATCTTTCTGAATAGATAAATTCTAGAAGGTGGTATATGTGATATAAAATATTATCAAAGTATTCATAAATCTAGATCAGAAATATCCAAAAGCTCAATCTAGAATTTTAGTTAATATGTTTTCAGCATAATATAAATGAGAAGCTAAGTGTACTCCATGAAAAGTATCTTAATAACCAACAAATGCTTCATTGTATCTGGACAGCAATTTTTTATTAAGTGATTTGGATTTGGTGTTCTTTCTCTCTTTAAAAATGGGAGAGTTCAGAAAGCTGGTATCTGTAAACGGGTCTCCTCTTCTGAGTTTCCTATCAAAACAAATTAATTTGTTTTTTGTAAAATTCATAAATTGAAACAATTCAAATAATAACAAAAATATGAAATTAATGTAGATCTTACAGTAGGAAAAACCATAAGTCAGATACTAACCCACTGAGACTTGGCTCCTTATAACTGACATAACTAGTACTTCTACGTTTTTGGTGAGTAGCATCTTTTGCTGCAGTCCCGAAGGCTAGGTAAGAAATTCTTGTTTGGTAAGAAGTTGATGCAACATTGGTAATATCATTGAGATGATGTTTTTGAAGTGCCTCAGATGATTCATCTGTTGAAAGAAAGTACTGTCACTTTTTCCCCAATAATTACCATTATTATTCCCCCCCTCCCCTCAAGTTAGCATTAGCAATACTAATCTGAAGGGAACTCACTCAATTTTAAAATTTGAAAATATTACTGAATATAAACAATATTTAATTCTTAAATTATGACCACTGCAGCTTGTTCATTTAAAACAAAAATTCAATGCTTCATTGGCTACCTTCAAAGTATGGTCAATTTTTTAAGCTCATATTGCAAGGGCAAGAGCAATGAAACAATGCACTTGTACATATTCATTTAAAAAATATATTTTGAAAGGTATTAGCAAAAAATGCACACAATTTTTAGAATCTGCAACTATGTACTATTTTTGATTCCAGTACTGGAGATTGAGAACCATGTTCTAAAGTAATACATTTCTATAATAATACACACAGAAAGCAAGAATTTTCTTACCCAAATGAGATTCAAGTGTCTTGGTATTCCTGCTTTCCCCCTCAGGATTTATATAATGTTGCTCAAACACAGTTTTCTTTGATCGTGATTTTGTGCGTAGTGGGATTACATCTGTTCCAGTATTTAGAGTTTCATTGGATTTTGATTTTTTTGAGTAAGGCACATAGAGACTATCGTCAGGATCTTCTTCTGAAATAGATGATTCACTACTACAGATTTCTCTTTCTTTTGTATACTCTTTGTCATCAACATGTTCATTTTGTTTGTTTTGCCGGAAAGGTGTTATATGAACAGACTCTTCACTAATAAAATCATAAGCATCATTGGAACGAATGGATGTATTTGCTTTTTGTTTAGGTCCTGCATGCTTACTGCAGTTTTTGTCTTTATTGGATTTTGCCTTGGGCACATTTTTTGTGGTTACCAATTTTCTCTTCTGACCCTTCCCTTTCTTAGTTTTAAAGCCACCAGTATTATTAAGATTACTTTGTTCTGAAAAAGCTGTGGCCTTTTCAATTTGTGTATCTGATTCACTTTTATCAGATTCAATTTGCATATCTGATTCACATTTATCAATGTTTACATTATGCTTGTCCTCCTGACTAATAGACATTTCTTCAGAATTTTCATTATTATTCTTTGAACATGAAAGATCAACACTGATAGCTGGCATGCCATCATCTGATTCAAAGACTTCACTGAAGGAATTAATTTTTAAATAACGACGACGGGTAGAAACATTTTTAGGTACAGAATAATCAGTTTGCTTGTCTTCATCAACTGAAATAATTCTGCTCCCAGAGGTTACATGATCTGGATGATCTTCACAGGAATAATTCTGGTAACCTAGAATTTAAGGTATGCATCAGTGACCAGCAAAGCTATATTTAAAAAGAAATAACTTATTTTCTATAGAAAGTTAAGCAAATGTATAGATTTATAAATCATACTTTCCATAATAAGTAATAAGTTCTACTATTCTGGAAACAGTAAGTATAGTTAATAAAATTTATTAGATGCAAATAATGAAATTCTATAGTTGTTATTAAATTCTTCCAGTCAAATGATACATGTATTACTTATATTTAAATACATTATTTATTTAATTTATACCATCTCTTTGTATTAGCAAGACAGTTAATAGAATGTCATAAAGCTTCTAAAAAGTGAAAAATATAAATTAAAGGCACCATTTCAAAGGCTAGGAAAAGATAGTTTTTTAAAAAACATTCAATTACCAAAACTGTAGGCCAAAAATAATTCCCAAAAAAGTGCATTCCATAACCTGGATGTAGCCCAGGAGGCAACACTCATTTGCTAGAAAGAGTTTTCTAATAATGGGGCCGTCTTCAAAATAGCCTGCCATCCTGATCTTAATACCCAAATAGATTCATCATGACAGAGCATTTCTGATTATCTTTGACTGGAGCTTTTAAGGCTTTAAAAATTAGTAGTACTCAAAATGTTTTTTCCCGAGACTCTAGTAAACTGGTGCACATGCATATTCTGCTTCCACAACTCTTCTGTTGCCTCTCCTCCCCAATTTTGTCTGCTGCCTCTCTGACAAACCTTCCTGACATTCTTATAAGTTGTGCCCCCAACCACCTGCATCATGCCCACTTTGCTTTTCAATTAAGATTTTTTCCCCTTCACTCAAGGCAGGACATGAAAAAATAAATTGTAGGAACCATAATCCTCAAGTTTTGATGGTAATTGGGACCAGAATTTCTATTGCTAACAATATAGCCATAAAATGTGATATGTGATAGCATAATTTAATTTCAGCAATTATGGCCCTCCCCATTGCCATCAGTAGCTGAGGATCCACACCAATCTAAGCCATTCAGGCTTGGTCCTTCCTAGACCTGATTCTTCCAAGGCACCTCCCTTTCAACACTCTCCAATTGACTATATTCTCTCTCATCTCTGCCCTTTTTGTTATCCCGCACCCTGCCCTGCAGAATGGCAGGAAGCCACAGACCAAGGTGGCTCTGGGGCTGCTGCAGCTCAAGGGCTTCTTGGCACATCACAACTTTGGGGTTATAAGCAGCCCCTGAGTTGCAGTATGCTGTAAAATCCCAGCCATCCAGCACAAAGCTGCAGTTATCTTGGGAAACCTCAAACACCCCAGCAGCGCAGCAAAAAATTGCAGTTGCCCTGGGAAGCTTCAGCTGCCCCAAAATTGTCCTAGTCAGTCATCCTGGCCATCCTGCACTCTGAGACCCTGACATCTCAGCTGATCTTTGTTGTCGTCTTGCTCCTGCTGCTGCTGAGGTGTACCTGCTCTGGCTCTTTGAGGCAGATGCTGGCCATATGAGGCCATCTTCCCCAGGCCTAACCAAGAAACTGAACTTCAGTGGTCTTTGGAAGAAAGCCTTCAGGGCCAGGCTGGGCATTCTTGGTCAGCAATAGGGACAAGAAGATGGCAAAGGTCAACTAGGGTGGCAGAGATTCAAAAGGGCATAGATGGGGTGCAGATATTCAGTGGGGAGAGATGAAGCAACTCTGCAGTCGTAAGTGTGGGTAAGTTGCCAAGTGCCCAAACTTTGATCACATGACTAGATGATACAACAGCTGTAACTTCCAGGACTACAATTGTCCCTCTATTCAATGCCAACCTAACTTTGAATGGTTGTTGAACAAAATAATTGTATGTTGAGGATATATTGTAATGGTTAGATACCAGACTAAAAATGGGAGCTGAGTTTTAACCCTGTTTTAGGCACAAATTCATCTGGGTAACATTGAGCCAATTACTTCTCTTCAACTCTACTTAACAGGCAATGGCAAACCATTTCTGAAAATCTTGCCAAGAAAACTGCAGGGACTAGTCCAGGCAGTCACCACGAGTCAATACTGACCTGAAGGCACCAAAATAAACAAATGTTAAAAAATACAGGATTCTAATACATTCAAGTCTGACTTCACAATTTGAACTGCATAATAGATACTTCAGCAGTGTCTAAGACCTGTAAATTAACAATTGTCCAGAAATATGATTTGAAAAAATTTAAACATACAATTAAAAAAATTTAAATGGATATAAGTAATTTGCAATAAGGAGTTGGAACAGTCCATACTGATAAACCAATAATTCTTAAAGAATGTTAAGCGTATTTTTTAATTGAGACTTAATTCCACAAACAACTACTATTTAAATATTCACTGCAGAGAACAGAGTTGCAGTTATCAAATCCTTTTATCTTGGAAAAATAAAATGATTGTGGGTACACATACCTATTATAAGGGTTTGTTCTGCTATGTTCCCAGTTTAATTTTGAGATAATTTTGAGAAAAGTATTAATGTGACTTCTGAACTACTGTATATACCAAACTTTGGAATGTATGAACTCATGAACTATGGATTAATCAATCACTGGGCCTAGCAAAAACATTTTGTAATTATTTAAAGAATGCACTAGATTAATTATATGTATTTGCTTTCTACTTTTGATCTGGCCCTCTTCTGATGAAAGACTGACCAATATTATTTGTTTAATGCTGTATTGTTTAATACAATTTAAAGCTGTATTTAAAAAAACCTGAGCTTCTTTTAAATATATAAACCCTTCATACTGAAAATATAATAGATACATTTCTTACTCTGGACTGACATCATTTTACTTTTCTAGAATCCTAATAGCTATTTTTTATGAACTATAACTGTATATTTTATTTCTTCATTCGTATATTACAAAAAAATTATAGTTTGAGCCTTTTCAAGCTTTAAGAACAATTCCTAAGTAAACAGGCAAATGCAATATGCAATATGCATAAACCAATAGTTAAAGCTTTGCCTGACTTTTGTAAATTTAATTTTGGGATTGCTCACCTGTATTTGTCAGAGACACTGAAGCTGTATTCTCAATGTCATCACAGAAATTTAAGTCAGAATCTGAATAATAATAAAGCTTTTCCACTTTATCCTGTATTTCATCTGCATCTTCTTTATCTACTTCTACAGCAAGAATGTGCCTTAGAAGTGCCCTATGAAAGATAGATTAGATAGATTTAAATATCTACGTTAAAACAGGTTGTTACACTGGAAAACCATGCATTAATTTTTTTCATCTTTCTAAATCTGCTTCTTAAATTAAATTTGAATGACTATTTCAAATGTAATACCTTTCAGGAACATTTAAAAAGGTGAAATAAAAGAAGAGTTATTTCTTATCAAATGTAACTTATACTTTCATGAATTTTTAATGTAAAAAAATCTCTAACCAAACTTCAAATAATATATAGTCTTGTAAAATCAAAAGGTTCATAATCTCTAATGATTTTTTAACACTTAAATAATATAATATAATAATGCTTTGTTATTTCCACCCCAGAATAATAAAATTAAACTACTAATCTTATTCTATTAATTAATACAAAACCCATATCTTTCCTTATATTAACTAAATTGAAAACAGCCAATCACCTCAAATCTATTTCAAAATATACTTGCCTTGCAGAATTTATTTTTTACATTTTGTTAGGGCCTGGATATTTCTGATACTGCTTACTCATCTAATGAAAGGACAGAGAATGCCTGCTGAAAGTCCTCAACTATTAAGAGTTGTGAAAGGAAAACCCCACCCCCATCCCTGCTCACAAAGCAGGTGTTCTTTGTCCTGATCCCTTTCTTTGGATCAGCTTGTACTTGTTCTCATACATCACATCTCACCCTTGCTAGAGTTGTTGTTACTCTCTTGGAAGTTGTTAACAACTTGAACATTAAAAAAGGTCTTTAGGACTTGAGTGACTTAGGGTAGTAATATAATTATAAATTTTATTATACTTTTATAGTATGTTGCTGTGAATCCACTGGGTCAACTGGTATCAATTGGTTATATACACTGCTTACATTAGTATTTTATGCATTCTTAAAACAAATTTTAAAAACCAATTGTTTTGTTTAAACATCCAAATTTGTGAAGTATACTTACAAAGAATCAGGCTTCTTTAAACTTCCAGAAGCACCTTCGTCATGTTCAGAGTTATACAGAACTGTATTCTACGGAAATTAAAGACATGATGAAAAACATTTAAGTATCCATAATTGAGTCAGATGCAATATTTGAAAAATATGCATAAACATGGGTTCCTACTGTGAAAGGTCAGTAAGTGGAATTCTACCAGTGAAAGGTCAGTAAGAGGAATTAAAACTATAGTAGGTCATTGTAAAAAATAGAAACTCCCTGTGTAATTCAAATCTTCCAAAACATTAATCAAGGCTCATGTTTTTAACATTGAATTAATGTCTACAGGTAAAGACACTGCATTTCTAATTACTGTATGTTCATTATACACCTTCATTAGGACAATAATAATATTAAAAATAAATCCCATATTATCAAATCTCATTTTAGTGCTATCACTATATTTTTGCAAAAAGTAGGTGTAAAAAAATAGGAAGAGAACACTTAGGGTTTATATAAGAAAATAGGAGTGTTATCCTATTCCAAAAGGATTTGAGAAATTAAATATAAACATGTATCAAGACAATCTGTTATTGCAACTTATCCAATATGGTTCTGCAACATCCAGATGACAAAATAGGCTATTTGGAGTTTTCGCAAACTAATTCAGTCTTGAATACTTGAATCTCATTTCATTCTGAGACAATTTTTAGATTCTTAATAGATCAAGAACTTTGATTTATATAAATATTTTTCCCATAGTCTGAACTGATAGTTCAAGCCTATAAATTATAAATGCATATGCAAAGAGAATAAAAAACTTACAAAATCAGCAGTAGAGACATCATTTAAGGGATCAAGAATATTTGATGCACTGAGTAGATCTTGAACAACTTTAGAAATAATCTTCTTCACTACCATGAATCCATTCTAATTCAAAACAAAATAAATATAAAAGGCATTTCATAGTAAAATTCAATGAGCTTCTTTAAACGTAAAAGTAAAAATAAATAAATTAAAACAATATGATAGCAAAATAATTTTAAAATTATTATTTATAATTTATTTTCTGAAACCATGTTAAAACAAATACCTCATCATGTTGTTTTTCTTGCTGTAACTTAAGCTTTCTTTGTAGGTCAATATTCTGAAACTTCAAGCTCTGATACTCTTTCTTTAAACACAGTATGATATCTTGTGCTTCCCTCATTTTACTCCTCTCTTCTTCTAAAGCCAAAGCTAAAGCACGATTATTTGCTTGGAAGTTTTTCAACTGTACCACAGAATTATCTAGAAAAGATGGATAATTGTAACTTCAAAAAATCTATTTTTGGAGGGGGGGAGAGAAAAAGGAATATTAAAATACTTACCTGCAATTTTACTCTTAATAGGTAAAACTTGGTTTGCTTTACCCAGCTTTGCCCATTTTTTATTTCTCTTTTCTTTCATTCGTTCTTTTATATCTTCCAAACTATCCTTAAATGATTTTTTCAAAGCTTTCGCCATATTTCAATCTAAAAATACAGAAACTGTTGTATTCAGATATATTTAAAATTTTACCACTTTAAAAGCAATTTATAATTACTACATTTTAGAGGAATGAAGAGTTTTATACTTGAGAAAAAAAACACATTTAGCATTTTAAAATACTTCTGCAAAATCTCTTCATGAAAGCTTGTTCTTCAACAAGACTTAATGTAAAAATTAAATTTGGAAAAATACTGTACAAATGGATATGAACTTACAGACTTAGATATTTTGGTATCTGCATCAGCATCAAGGAGATGATTAAAATAAAGCATTTATTAAACAATAAAAACATTTGTCCTCTTGTAAAGTTGCTATTTATATAAAAAAGCAATTTAGACACCAACTGTATTCTGTTCCCTATGGCTTATTTCATTTGAAAGATGAAAAATCAATTTTAGCTTTACTTATGAATTATGAATCGTTAATAATGTTATTTTCCCCTTATAATGTTTGTATTATTGGAATATTTTATTTCTTACCAAATCTGATTCTGAGCTGGGATCAAGAAAACAGCCAATTGCATATAGTTCCTTGTTCTTCGCCTAAAGATGATGACAGCAAGCTGTTAGGTGTGAAGCTGCAAAAAACCCTTCTTCCAGCACTGATTATATACACCATGATTAGCCCCTCCTTTACTATGCCACCCTTTACCTATTCAACCAATTCTACCCTCTCATCATTCCATATAAGGAACGTCTTCCTCCCATGCCAGGGCCTCTAAATTTTCTGAGAATAATTTATCTAATGAGAAGCTATCCTTGAAATGTACACCTTATCTCACTTCCCTGGTTAAGCTACTTTCAGGGCCTATAAACAGTAAAAAGTAAGAAGGCTAGCAAATCTTAAGGAAAACAAAACGAGATAGAGTTTCTGAGCTTTGATAAAAGTGCTCAAAAATGCACAAATATAATGTAAACATTAAAATATTTTAACAATTCCCTTCTTTGTACAATAATTTTTTTCTTAAATTTTAAATTTCAGTGACTGTATTTAGCATCAAGCTTATGATACATTACAGTCCATTCAGACTGATTTTCAATAGTAAAGATTTGAAAGCAGTAGCAAGTTGATAACAAAGTAAAACCTTGACAACAAAAGTTTATAGCAAAAATGCAGCTATTCTATCACAGTAACTGTCTTATCTAGGTCACATCCAAGATCATGTCGTTCTAAACGGTCTCTTAAGATTTCTGTCTCCTTTGAGTAATAAGAAAATACAAAGAAAGCAAATGTTCCTCCAATGTAGTGTCTAATCATGCAAAACAAACTTATATTGGGCACCTCTGAATATGGCCTTGTAAAACCATGACTTTTAGCTAAGAAACAATTTGGTTTTTTAGGCCACAGGTTCTTGACTGAATCTTCTCTCTGTCACTATTCAGGATCAATTTAGATTGTTGGGAATGGTTTCTTATACTAGCACTTTAAACAATTCATATATATGAGGAACAGTGAGGTTTAGTAGTGAATGTTACACACACACAATTATGGGTACCTTCTATCACCACTTCTTCCCAAATATTTTCTTCTCCTTCAAATATATAACATGATGGAGGGGTTTCAGACAGATATGCAATCAAAACTTAGATGTGCTTTTTTATGCACTTCTAATATCAGTGAGATCAGGGGTGAAATGCTATCGGTTTGGACCAGTTCTCCTGAACTGGTAGTAATAAAAGCTACTGGTTCAGGTGAACTGGTAGTAAAAAAAAATGGTACCGGTTCGGACGAACCAGTATTTCTGACTATCAGTTGTGCCGTGCAATTTATATTCGCTAGAAAGCAGGAAATCCTGCTTTCTAGCAAATATAAAACATGTGGCACAGCTATTCACCCCCTCTCGCTGTTCTACTTACCTTAGAAAAGTCTTCTTAACCCTCCTTTTTCAGCGCTGTGCAGAAGCACCTGTGGTGCGCATGTGTGTGAAGCACACATTTGGTGTGCACCGCACATGCGTGTGCACAGTGAACCGGTAGCAGACTTCAGAGCATTTCACCCCTGAGTGAGATTATGGAAAGCAACTCTATAATTAAACATCCATACTTACCTTCTGCAATGTACATGTGATATGGCAATAGTATTTTAAAAACATTATGTTCTTTTCCTATAACTCATACATGGAGTTTTCTAAAAAGAAATCAAAGATAAAAAGGAGCATTCCAGGACACACTTCTTTAAAGTTACCGAGACACAAATCCTGGCTATAAATTGGAAGCCTATCTGAAGTCACCCCTTCAAGGATTACTGCCTTGTTGTGGCAAAGGGACTTGCATATTCAATTAAGCTATGAGCTATGCCATGCAGGGACACCCAAGACAGACAGGTCATAGTTCTGACAAAACATGATCCACTGGAAAAGGAAATGGCAACCCACTCCAGTATCTTTGCCATGAAAACCAAGAGGTACTGTCCATGGGTTTACCATTTTAATTATCTTGGGGTCTGTAATATTGATATATAAACTAAAACAAATACAAAGCCCCAAGGTCTAGAATCAAATTATTAATTTAATATCAGCCTAGATGCTCTTGCTATTGATATCCTTAGTTAAGGTGATGTATGTATGTATGTATGTGTATATGTATGTATGTAAAATGTAAAGGTTTCCCCTGTCCAGTTAACAGTGAAAAGTTGTGCCCAACTGTAGAGAATGGTGCTCATCTCCATTTCTTAACCGAGGAGATAGTATTGTCCGAAGACACTTTCCTTGGTCATATGGCCAGCATGACTATACACTGAGGTGCACTGAATGCTGTTACCTTCCCACCATATGTATTTTAAGGTATCCTCAACTGTTACAAATTGAACTGTTCATCAAGTAATAATTATGTTACCATGTTATCTCTCAGATAACAGTACAAGAAAACTATTAAGTGCATAAAGTCTCATCACGTGTCCCCTCTCTTTATATTTAGAGATAAACAAAAACCCACTTAATCATTTTCTGGCACTCATTTGTAGGACTATTGTGGGAATGTAGGTTATCCTTGGACACCCCTCTACCTGCCTCCACATAGGAAGAATATTGCAGCCAATTATTTATGCCCGAAATGGACTAATGGACTAGAGGATCCACAAAATGATCAACAGGAGACCTGTAACTCCACTCCACCATGCTCTATGGCAGTGGTTCTCAACCTTCCTAATGCCACGACCCTTTAATACAGTTCCTCATGTTGTGGTGACCCCAACCATAAAATTATTCCTAAAACTATCGAAAATATGTGTTTTCCGATGGTCTTAGGCCAGGGGTCCCCACCTATTGGACCTCAGGGACCACCAAGTTCATAATTTTAAATTTTGCGGACCACTAATACGAATTCAGCGCCACTTGATGAAGCACGTGGACTCCCAGTGACAGGATAGGGTCCTTCAGGCACTCTCTCTCTCTCTCTCTCTTTCTCCCACTCTTTCTCTCTCATTCTCTCTCTTTCCCTCCCTCTCTCTCTCTCTCCCTCACTCTTCTCTCTCTCATTCTCTCCCCTTTCTCTCTCCCACTCTTTCTTTCTCATTCCCTCTTTCTCTCCCACTTTTTCTCTCATTCTCTTTCTCTCCCCACACTCTCTCAATCTCTTTCTCTCTCTCCCTCCTCTTTCTCATTCTCTCTCTCCCCCACTCTCTCATTCTCTTTCTCTCTCCCCCTTCTTTCTCATTCTTTCTCTCTCCCACTCTTTCTCATTCTCTTTCTCTCTCCCTCACTCTTTCTTTCTCTCCCCTTTCTCTCTCTCTCCCACTCTTTCTCTTTCTCTCTCCCCCCTTTTTCTCATTCTGATTCTCTTTCATTTTGTCTCTCTCTTTCTTTTTCATTCTTTCTCTCTCTCATTCTCTCTTTCTCTTTCATTCTTTATCTCTTTCTCTGTCTCATTCTGATTCTTTCTCTCTCTCATTCTCTCTTTCATTATTTGTCTCTTTCTCTCTGTCTCATTCTGATTCTCTCTCTTTCTCTCTCTCTCTCTTTCTCTTTCTCTCTCTCTCATCTCATGGGCCAGCCAGTGTCTTGGGGCTGAGAGGAAGTCAAGCATCTCCCTGACAGACTGAGGTGCGTGGAGCACCAACAAGGGCCAGAAGAAGTGTAGGAGTGAAGCACTACTTGAACTTGCATGAGCATTCACGTATATTTGTGCCAGCTGGTGGCCAAGGCAGCCCTCATCTCCTGCCGCTTGGGACTCGGAGCGGTAAATGGTGACTGGTCCGGGGAGCAGCTGAATTTTGCTCTCCATTGCGGATGCCAGATCGGCCCCCTGCAAGCTCTTGTCTCTCAAGGAGTGCTCCCTGAAGCAGCGCTGGAAACTTTGGTCGGGCTCCTTGAGAGACGAGAGCTTGCAGGGGGCCGATCTGGTGTCTGCAATGGAGAGCAAAATCCAGCTTCTTCTCTTTGCTGTAAGTGCGGCATCAGGATTCCGCCTTGGTATATTTACAGCACAAGGCAGCCCTCATTTCCTGCTGCTTGGGACTCGGAGCGGTAAACAGCTTCTGGTTCGGGAAGCAGCCGGATTTTGCTCTCCGTTGCGGATGCCAGATTGGTCCCCTGTAAGCTCTCGTCTCTCGAGGAGCTCAACCAAAGTTTCCAGCGCCACTTCAGGGAGCGCTCCTCGAGAGACGAGAGCTTGCAGGGGGCCGATCTGGCATCCGCAACGGAGAGCAAAATCCGGCTGCTCCCCAGACCAGACGCCATTTACCACTCCGAGTCCCAAGTGTCAGGAGATGAGGGCTGCCTTGCGCCACAAATATACCAAGGCGGAATCCTGATGCCGCACTTACAGCAGAGAGAAGAAGCCGGATTTTGCTCTCCATTGCAGACACCAGATTGGCCCCCTGCAAGCTCTCGTCTCTGGAGGAGCCCAACCAAAGGTTTCCAGCACTGCTTCAGGGAGCGCTCCTCAAGAGACGAGAGCTTGCAGGGGGCCGATCTGGCGTCCGCAACGGAGAGCAAAATCCGGCTGCTCCCCAGACCAGACGCCATTTACCGCTCCGAGTCCCAAGCGGCAGGAGAAGAGGGCTGCCTTGCGCCACTGGCTGGCGCAACTATACTGAGGCGGAATGCTGTTGCCATGCAAATGAAAGTAGTGCTTTGCTCCCACAGCTTCCAGCCACCACAAACGCCACTTCTTCCCGCTTGTGCCGCCCCTCCCCCTCAACAGTACCATTCATTCCAGACGGTGAGGGCTGCACTCCTTTTTCCGTATTGCACCACCTGCAAAAATACGAAAATTTCTCTGCGGACCACCAGTTGGTGACCACTGAAAGGGTCGTTCGACCCCCAAAAGGGTTGCGACCCACAGGTTGAGAACCACTGCTCTATGGTGATTGAACAAGAGAACTCATTCAGACTCTGACGCTCAACAAGAATCCCAGAGAAGATCCTCTATCCCCAAAGTCATTTAAATGTCACATTTACATTACTTGAAAGTTTATTTGCCCATAGAAATAATTCCTGCCAAATTCCAGATGATTGGGACCTCTCTATTTTGGTTTCCATTTACAAATGCACACACACACACACATATGTACAATGACAATAAACTTTATATATGTGTGTGTGTGTGTATATTTACACATATTGTTTATTGTCATTGTACATATATACATAGTTTATTGTCATTGTACATATATACATGGTATACACATACAACGAAATTCACATAACACCCAGAGACCAAGCTCAACACACATGACAATCCCCAAACACACCCCCACCCATCAAAAATTCTCCACCCCTAAACCACCCAAGCATCCACACAGACCAATTAATGCTGTCCAACAGCTCACTGATGACAAGTATTTTTTATGTAAGATTGAGAAATGAATAACGAAAAAAGGCTTGCTTCCTCAAAAGCAAAGTGCTTTTAGGTCAGCTCACTCCACTACTGACAACTGCTTCATTTTATGCCATCTAATAGAAAAATAAACAGTTAAAGGGAGCCAGCCATCCGTTACAACTTTTAAAGATCTCAGTGCAGCATTTGATTTGACAAATAGAGACCTTCTTTAGAGACTTTTCTTTATGCACCTGATTATATACCCCAGCATGGACCATAAGGCAGCTCACCTATCACAGTTACCTGGGTCTCCATGTGTGTTGGGCTTGGTCTGGGTGTTATAATAAAGGTATACAACAAAATGGTCACAAAGATCAGGAATTCCTAAGCATTAAGGTGATGGGCAAGACCCTGGTATCAAAGTTCCTTAGGAATGTTTTTAGTAAGGAGGAAGGTTATTGATAAATATAGGGCTTACTTTGTAATCTTTAGGTTGTAACCTTTATCTGAATTGTGTTACTATGACCCCTGAAGATATATCCATGATGTTGCTCTTAATGACTGATTTATAATGGGGATATGTTTCCGTGATTCAAGAAAATGTATATTTTTCAAAATTGCATAAGAGGGGATCCACTCCAAGCCCAAGTGTGCCCATTTGGAACTTGCTTCCAGGTAGTCCTTTTATTTGCAAATAAAAGTTTTCTTTTCCTTTCTAGCTATCTGGTGTGGTTTCTAAGATAATTCTGGCACCCAAAATGATAACACCTGAGGGCCTTGTCTGGTTCTGCTGAGCTGATCCTGAAATGTTGCCCAACAACACATACTAATAGATATAAAGCAAAATGACTGAAAAGTGTATGAATGTTTTTTGATTAAATTCATGGTTGGATCTGTGGGCTGTCTATCCAACACCTCAGCTCCGCCCAGATTCTCCAAATCTATTTATACTGTGATCAGGATGTTCCTGGGAAAAAAAATGAGGCTGGTAGATCCATGTGCTCCAATATTACTTTGAGTAGAAGGCTGCATGCCTATGAGCCATCACTGAATAAGGTGGAGTTGGGTGTTTGGGCTAGCATAATGATGATATCAGAGTCTCAAAGTTGTGATGTCCAAGGAGTATTGAAGGAGGGCCAAAGATGCTGGGAAGATCTGTATTCTCAATCTTTATCAGGGAGTAACTCTGGAACATCTGAAACAGGTATAAAGTCCATTCCTATTACCTGATCATTTGGAGCAGGCATGACAAGACCAGAAATGTTCACCTGTGTGGTGCAGCTGGCTTTTTCACAGCATCTGACTCTCTGCAAATGCCAAGGATAGTATTTGTCTAACTGTGAAGCATTATTGAGCTTACTGGGACCAGAGGGAAAATAGGAACCAGCCCATGGCATTGAGTGGTAAGTGGGAGGAGTATAGAACAAGATCCGAGAATGTAGCCCTCTTGGATACATCATAAAAAATTGGAAAAGGTTTGCAAGGGATAACCTAATTAAGACCAAAATGGAGCTTTTTGTGTGTAAATCTTTAGTCATGACATTCTTTGGAAGATGGCTGTGAAATGGGCTTTCGGAATATAATACCATCATATAGTAGCCTTTGTTACACGGTCCGTGAATATAATACTATTGTATACAGTCTATGAATTTTTTTTCTTTGGTTCAGTGTTTTGCCTCAGTGCCATTCCTGCAGCAGGTAGGGGCAATTTCCTGTGGTGCTAATGTCTGCTGAAACTATTTTGCAATTGCAATTATACCAATGTTGGTAGTTGTCTTTGCTGACAAATGAGCAAATGGAATAACTGTTATGTTGAGATGTTTTTGAGTTTTTTTGGGGGGGAAAGAGAGATGATGTAAAATATAAATTCACTGTCCCCAAATACTTTCTAAACCAAGATATATTTAAGAAATCCATGGGGGACACGTAAAGGCTTCAGCTCCTCCACTTTATTTAGTTAAGCAGCAAACTGTGAATTCACCATTGCCAGGTATTTGGAAAAGGGGGGGAAGAGGAAAATGACTGGTTAATAAAGCCTTCTCGCTTTCCCACTTTTGGTACTGGCCACTTGAGCCAAGAGAATATTCTATCATGCTACCTTTAAGGCAGGCTCTCCTCTTGGGATAGAGATCTTAGCTGGACCATTTTAACCTTTCTATATTTGTAAACATTGTCAGCCCAATTGTCATAGTTCTGCTAATTTTTTTACATTCCCAAAGAAAAGAAAATGTTACGTAGAATGCAAGGAGAGGAGAATAATTAAAGAATGATTAAGCTGATATCTATGGGACTGAGCTCTGATGTTAAAGGCTGCATCTAGAAGAAAGAAAAGTTTAAAAGGAAAAGGCCAGCCAAAAGGGTTTTGAAGGAGAAAAAGAGCAGAAACCGTCTTTCTGCTCTTTTTCCCCTTCAGTGGCTGCAAGTGATGCTGCTGGCCTAGAAGCCAGGAGAGGATGATTTCTGCCTTAGGCATGAAAGACGGCTGGGTGACTTTGAACTTTGACTCTCTCTCTCAGCACAACCCACCTCGCAAGATAGTTGTTGTGAAAAAAAGTGGAGGAAGGAGTTTTTAGGTATGTTAACTATACTTATTATACTTAATGTTTATAAGAGGCCCAAAGTTGCCTCTAGATGAGATGGGAGGCATACATATCAAATAAGTAAATAATAAATAAAAGTAGGATAAAAAATAATAAACTAATAAATAAAAAGAAAAGGAGAGGGAAAGGAGGGGGGTAAACAATTCCTGTCCCCCCTCCCCATGATCAAAATGGAAATATAAGAGAAAGACATGAAAATTTTTAGTAGTTTTAAATGTGAAAATGCTACTTGTTAGGCGAACAGAAAAATGCTAATTAAACCTTTTTCTTTTAGCAATGGGTTGTGGTATTCCCTCCACCCTGAGAAAAAGGTTGTGAAAATTAACTCTTTGTCCTCCAAAAACCTCAGCCCAGAAATTGAAACCTCCATATTTTGCCTTTGAATATTTATACTGATTATCAGCATGCTTAGATTTTTGTACACAAGGAACCTTGTGAAAGGAACAGGGACTTTTCATACAACTGGAAGTAAAATGCAATATATCCTAAACATACTTATTTTGTTGGGAGTTCTTTTTCTTTTTCCGTAAATATCAGAACGTAAAAATGCTATTTCTGGGGAAATCAAAGAACAGATAAAGCAGGAATGTGGACAATTTTTATGCGTTTAGGAGAGGCCATCTACAAGCAGCTGTGTTGATTCGATACACTGAACAATTCTTTCCCTCTGAAGCATATTTTGATGTCCAAGTGCAAGAGACTTGGATAACATTTAAAATAAAAATTACTGAATTAATCCTGATAGAGCCATTTATTAGCATTAATGATAAAATTAAGCCAGTTGCCTGGCGAGACACAGCAAGGACACTCTGGATCAGATAATAGCCCAGGATGGTTTTTTTAATCTTTTCAAGGCAATTTGCTTTGCCTACAACTTGAATAAATAGCAAAAGTGGGAGTTGGAACCTTATATTTTATTCTAGGATAGGCAGTCCAATGGCCAGACAGTGCAAGATCCTTTTTACCTTTTAGACATTAAATGGGTTATTAGGAGGAGTTTATTGAATTTTGTTTATCCATGAACATGGCACAAGATTAAAAATAGAGAAAAAATTGGGGGCAATGTTTGATAGAATTGCCATGGATTGATACAGTCTAATTGAATTTTTTTCCAACAACTTTTGACTATACAATCAGTCTAAGCACTGAATAAATTCTTGTGCCAATGCAGAGATTTTTTTTCTTCCCAGCTTTATAAATTTTAATTTTAGAAATAGTATTAAAGGTTTTTTTTTTGTTAAATTGTACAATGTTGTTTTTATTTAAAGGGAAAAATGAAGTCAGGGTTAGCATAAACTCTACTTTTGTTAAATGGAAAACTTATATATAACTGAAAAGTTATATATAAAAGTTATCACCATTAAATATTGAAAAAATAGTAAATTGAGGATCACTATATTTTTGGGACAGGCAGTTGGTAGACTAAGCAATCACATTAGGATATCTTTGCCCTCTCTTTGTAAATAGTATAATTCCACCGAAGCGCCTGCTTTAGTTTTAATATATTAATCCTTACTCAGGGCACTCGAAAGGCAACTGGGCTAGATCTCTGTACCTTTAGATCAGGGCTGTCAAACTCACGGCCTAAGGGCTGGATGCGTCATGCACCGGCCACGCCCACACGTGGTTTAGTGAAGGGGAAAAAAGTCCTGATACATCATGTGATGATGACGTGACGACGTGAGTTTGACACCCCTGCTCTAGATGATACCCAAATTGCTTCCAGGTTTAGTTTGGCAGTAATGTAGGTGTTTGACATGAAACAGATCCAAATTTCATACTGTCCATTATAAGGCGACAGCGGTACGTCCATTGAGAAAAAAGGTCAACTTACCCAGCTAATTCTGGAAACAGCTTTGATTTCCCAAGTAAAAGAGATAGATTGGCTGAAAAATAATACTTTAAAAGGTCAGGATGGATTTACATTTGCACACAAAAAAGAAAAAAATAAACTGGTAAGAATAAATGTGTAAATTTGATATTAACATTGACTTTTTATTTTTTTTAATTGATATTTTGAGCCTGTTATATACATTGAGTTGCACTAATTTTTGTAGATTATTAGAGCCACAACGACTTCTATTGTGAAGTCCTTGAACACAACTGCTGATGTCCTAGCAACAGTAAAATGGGGCCCTTGAGGCGCTTATAGCTGCTGAAGAAAGACATATGCCATCTAGCTTACAGTATACAGAGCAATAAGCAGTACACTGATGATCTTTTTTTTTAATGCTGGGATACCAAATTTTAGATTGCTAAAAGCTTTATTTGGTATTATATTGTTCTTATTAATCATTGGACTCACAATATGTTGTATTCAATTCCTTCCCTTCATGATGTCTTCATGTGGCCAAAGTTTGCCAATCTTTTTAAAAGAAACTATAAGATAATGCTGGTTGAGCAACAATCCTCTAATTATACTTTCTGCCTTTCTCTAAACAGGCTAATAATTTAGTAGTCTAAATTTTAATACATTCTTCATAAATTTCTGTGGCTTATGTAACCCTGCACATTTTGACACTGGATAAAAGTGGGGCATGATAAGATAGCCCAATTCACTTAAATTTAATCAAATTGTATTTATGTATTGATAAACTATTTGTTATTCATGCATTAAAATACCACTTCTTATTTAAAACATATTGCCATGGAGTTGAACTGCTTTGTTGAGCAGAAATGAGACCAATTTGACCAGACCATCTGTCTCCTACTCAGGAATGCCTAACCATTAAGGTGATGAGCAAGACCTTGGCATCAAGTTGCTTAGGAATGTTTTTAGTAAGGAGGAAGGCCAGGGGTAAGATAAATGTCATAGCTACTTTGTAACCGTTAGCTTGTAACCTTTAGCTAAACTGTGTTACTATTGCACTGAAGATGTATGTTGATATTGTTCTTAATTATTGGTTTATAATGTGTTCCCATGATTGATTCATGACAATATATATATTTTTCAAAACTATATAAAAATGTGTCCACTATAAGTTGGGGTGTGCTCAATTGGAATTTGCTTCCACATAGCCCTTTCAATTGCAAATAAAAGTTTTCTTTTTTGGCTATCTGGTATGGTTCGTTAGGCTTGCATGCCAGATAAAAGGACCCAACTTTATGGGACAATAATGCCAGGAACAGATGGCTCTCCTTGCACTGTTTCCTTTCTTGCAACTGATTAGTTTGCACACTTTCCCTAACACTAAATATCACATCACACAAACAAGACACATGCAGAAGCCTTTCCCAAAACAAGCATTACTTTATTAACAGCAATGTTTTTACCCATTGTTTTCCCACTTATTCCATTGATCAAAAAATGGTGTGAGTATCCTAAGAGCAGTCAGAACACACGCTTCTCCCAGGTACCATCAAGAGCCAGAAATAGCCTTCAGTTGTCCATTTGCAACCAAGAAGGAGGGGGGGGGACAAACCTGACAGTCCAATCAGCGAAGAAGAGACTTCTGCAAAGCTATACACACCAGTACAGATCAGTTGGGATAGAAGAATCATAATGAAACTAAACCACGAGAAATACAAACATACAGAGATGAGAAAAGCTTTTAACATACACACATGGAACTTTGCACAATGAATTAACCTTCCTGCCCAATTACCTTTCCAGGGTGGTAAAAGAAAAAAACATTCAAAGTGGCAAAACACTTACATACATGCCATTGCTGTCTGCAAAAGTACCCCACCTGAATTGCTGCACACCTCAAACCTCACTGGAGCAAGAAAAATTTCAAACTAATGTGTTTTTTTTTTTAATATCAAAGGAATTTTGGATAACATCAATTCCGTTGAATGACAAAAAAAAAATCCATGTATCTCAAACCAAAATTCTAATACTGTCCCATTTAATACTAAGTACAAAGACAGGACATATAACAACCCACCTAATTAGCTCTTCTTTTTGTTCCCTATAAGAATGATTAATGATACCTATATTAGTATGTAATCTAGCAGAATAGAAAAACTAACTACAATTTGCCTAAATTTCTGCTCAGTTTTGGTCTGACTGCAATATCAGAAACCCTTGTTAACAATCAGCGATGAACAAATTATGATACTTGGCTTTTAAGTCATGGATCACCCTAGCATGGAAAATAAAAGAGAAAGGCTGGGCAATAGGGAGTCTGGCATATTGATCAAGGAAGAACTGGAATGGAAAGGTAAAGATGACCAGGCATGCCTCTGTGTTTTTTGGTTAGCTGTTAAATTCCCATACAAGACCTCAGCGATTGTGATATTAGATGTGTATGTACTCACACATAATATTTCTTTGGCATATGGATGAATTTAGAGCAAATCTTGGTAGCGCTAAATTCAAAAATTCCCAACATAGTTACAATAGTTTGGGGAGATTTTAAAGCGAGGTTGGGGCCTTTTGCACAAAATCATATTAGTAATCTGAACTTTTCCAAAGCCATCATTTCAAATTTTGTATTATCTTTATGGTTCTTTAGGGACCAGAAAAGAAACTTTGCTGGTATACAAGTGTTAAACTTGGTATGCAAATGTAACTTGCAAATTCTAGGGGGCAAAGTTTTGTATACCCTTTACTTACCATTCAGAGAAATCAAGTAGTACTTCAGACTACATATGTATCTCTAGCAGTTATGTGTCTTTTTTCTCAACTTCCAGGTTTATGTAAGAGACGATGATGACTACTAACTGGCTGCCAGGAGGGATAAAAATCGATGATTTTTTTTAAAATTTTTTTTTTAAAAATTGATTTTTAAAATTTAAATTGGATTTTTTAGATTTTTATCAAATTTATTTTAATAAAATGCTTTTAGAGTAAAAATCTATCTAAACATAGTTTTCTATTTAAGATATATTAATAATTTATTCAGCATGAAATGGAACTTAGTTATGTAGCATGAGGCTGTATATTCTGCACTATTTCCATTTTTGGTAAATTCATTCAATGAATCAAAGCTCTGCAAGCTGAGATAACATGCACTCTAAATAGGAAACCTTCATTTTGTTGCAAATAATAATATTAAAGATTCTAACTACCAGAAAGAATGAGTCCCTACATTTAAAGAGCACCTGTCATTTCAGATGCCATACATCATGGCAGAGCCTGTTAGTGGGCATCCACTCACCTGTTGCCCACCATATCCCTCACCTTGTTGTGTCACTGCCGCACAGGGTGGATAAAAATCATTGATTTTTATCAAATCGGATTTTTAAAATTTCTATTAAATTTATTTTAATAAAATGCTTTTGGAGTAAAAAACTATCTAAAGAACTATCAGCATGAAATGGAACTTATGTCATGCCTGGAAGCCATCTTTTTCGTACGATCTTAGTTATGTAGCATGAGACTGTGTATTCTTCAATATTGGGACTGTTGGTGAGCCAACAACAGGTCAGAGGAGGAGCCGCTGCGGGACAGAGATGACAGTTGCTCTTTAAAAATTATAATTTAAATCAAGTTGATTTAAATCAAGCCTTTTTACTAGTGATTTAAATCATGATTTAAATCGTGATTTAAATCGACTTGATTTAAATCAAATCTACCCTGCTGCTGCATCACCAGCCGTCCCATTAAAGGGAATAGGACTGTCAACAGCAGTTCGGAGGAGGAGCCCCTGCAGGACAGAGATGATAGTTGCTCTTTAAAAATTATTTAAATCGAATTGATTTAAATCAAGCCTTTTTACTAGTGATTTATGATTTATTTACTAGTAAGTCATTATTTAAGGGACGCAGTGGCTCAGTGGCTAAGACACTGAGCTTGTCGATCAGAAAGTTGGCAGTTCAGCAGTTCCAATCCATAGGTCCGTGTAACAGGGTGAGCTCCCATTACTTGTCCCAGCTTCTGCCAACCTAGCAGTTCAAAAGCATGTAAAAAATGCAAGTAGAAAAATAGAGATTACTTTGGTGGGAAGGTAACAGCGCTCCATGCGCCTTCAGTGTTGAGTCAAGCCGGCCACATGACCACAGAGATGTCTTCGGACAGTGCTGGCTCTTTGGCTTAGAAACGGAGATGAGCACCACCCCTAGAGCTGGAAACGACTAGCACACATGTGCAGGGGAACCTTTACCTTTTAAATCATGATTTAAATCCACCCTGCCGGCTGCTCTTAATTTCTGTGAGCATTCAGATCTTAGACCCTACACCACAATTGATAAATGGTTCTACCTTTATTTAAATGTCTACCAGGACACAGGGATAAAATGGACCAGAACAGATGTGATGGTTTTGATTGAGTACATGAAATTTGATTAACCTTAATTCTGGTAGTTACCTAACTTTGCACAGATGTCACCTCTGTACTTATAGCCTATGAAACCCTAAATGCAGAACTAAGAAAATTCTTAACTGAAAAGGCCCTTCCTAGAAGGTTCCAGGTATAAGGTACTCCTTGGTTTGATTCAGTGTAACTCCCTGAGAAAACAATTAAGACCATGTGTACTGAACAATTATCCATCAAATAATAATAATCATGTTGCCATGCTATCACTCAAACAAGAGTACAAGTTTATTTACCCATATAAATAATTCCTGCCAAATTCCAGTTGGTTGGGACCTCTCTATTATGGTTCCCATTTACAAAAATGGCGATTATAGATCAATTAGTCTAGTTGATATTGTAGCAAAATTGCATGCAAAATTATGTCTTTAACTGTATATTTTTCTATTAAACATCATAAAATGAAGCAGTTGTCAGCAATATAAAAAAGATTGAAGAATGGGTAACTGAAAAAGGTTTGCTTCTGAAAGAGCAAACTGGATTTAGGTCAGGTTCCTCCACTATTGACAACTGCTTCATTTTAAGTCATTTAATAGAAAATATATAAAAGGAGCCAACTGTTTACACTTTTATAAACCTTAGTGCAGGGGTATCAAATTTGATTTAATTGAGGGCCGCCTCAGGGGTTGTGTTTGACCTGGGGGGGGGGGGGGGGGGGGACATGACTAAGGGGCGTGGCCAGCTCAATGTCACCTATGTTGGAGGTGCCTGCATGTGGCCATCGGAAGGGCCACACGCAGCCCTCCACAGCTCCATTTTTGCTGACAGAAGGTTGCAAGAGGCTGTTGCAGCTGAAAACGGAGCTTGGGAGCACACGGCCCTCCTGAGCTCTGTTTTCGTTGGCAGAGGCACCCCGGGCTGGTCCTTCGCTATTTCCAGGACAACCCCGAGGGCCAGATCTAAGCACCCCACAGGCCAGATGTGGCCTATGGGCCTTGAGTTTGACACCCCTGCCTTAGTGCATCATTTGATTCAATAAATACTAAATAGAAACCTTCTTTGGAAGCAGTTTATGAACTTAAGCTCGGAATCTTCTACTTCAGGGATCCCCAACACCAGGATTGTGGCACTAGTCCGCAGCCCACCAGAACCAGGCCACGCAAGTGGGAAAAGCCCCATCCGGCCACATGCAGAATCCAGCTAACATGTAAAACCATGTCCCCCCAGTCTGTGGAAAAACCACCCTCCATGAAACTAGTCCCTGGCGCCCAAAAGATTGGGGGCCATTGCTTACTTAATCAAGGCATTATACTCAAACTCTGGGCCAATGCCATAAAGCAGCTCACCTACCATAGTTACCCTTGTTCTACAATTCCAATCATAAAGGCATATAACAAAAAAATAATACCAATAATCACATATGGTGCAGAACTGTGGGATAAATAAATGCTCCTTACTGGAACAGATAGTCTACTTTTTTGAAATGTCTTGAATGTGGATAGGTTTACACCAGCCCCAGCAATAAAGGCAGAGGTGGACATATCCCCTATACAAAATATTCAACTATTGGCTAAAAATCCTATCCATGGATTCAGATAAATTACTCAAGCTGTGTTTCAAAACGAAGTTGCACAACATGGACCACCCACTTTTAAAAATCATCTTGCAATATGGATTCTCCCTCCAGTTCCCAGTCCAAACAAATGTAAATGCCGAGTAAACTTTCAAACAAAGAGTTATTGGCATGGCATGGGTTCAGGTTATCTAAGGGACCATCTCATCACCCCACCCGTGCTGGTAGCCAAAGCATGCTGTGGGCCTGAGAATTCTGGCTGGTGAGATCCAAAAGGGCATTCTCTGCTGTGGTGCCTGTCCTCTGGAATAGCTTGCTCTCCAGAGTGAGATCCTCTCCAACCCTCCTGACTCCATAAAAAGGTGTCTGCAGTTGACTTGAGGAACTGGCTTCATGTTGTAGATGGCTTATAGAGTAATATCATATTCCACTTTCCCTCTGCTCATCCTATTCCCTCCCTCCCCATCTTTTAGCTATCATATTTTGTATTTTGAGTTTTGTTCTATTTATATAGTTTTATTTTTAATATTGTAAGCCTCACAGAGTTACTCTATAGTAAGATGGGTAGCCAATAAATTTGATAGATTGATATCGACTGCACGTTTTACTCTCCAGAAAAAGCTGCTTATTTAGATCCTTATTTAAAAACTAAAATATATTAGGGCACCAGGGAGAAACAATCTTACTTACTGCGGGGAATGAATATGCACATCGTCATTTCAACAACTGTTTCAAAAAGGACAGAATACCTCGATCAGGTTGGAATCAACTGTAAGGATGAATATATTATGAAGTTTTCTTTTCTTTTTATTTAATTGCATTTTTGTATGAGTTATATCTATATTTGATACAGTCAATCATTTAATTAATAAAGTTATGTTCTTCTATTTTACCTTATACTATTTTATCATACTTTTTAAAATCCTCATATTATCTTACCTACCGTATTTTATTCTATTTTATCTCACCATAGCTTTTGTATTTTTCGGAGTATAAGACGCATCTATTTCCCCCAAAAGAGGGTGAAAATCTGGGTGCCTATTATACTCTGATTGTAGCCCCGCCCAGCCTCTCAAACGGAGGTTTGAGAGGCTGAAAAGACTCAGAAATGAAGCTTCTGAAAAAAAGCCTCCAAAACAGAGCTTCAGAAAAAAAGCCTCTGAAACAAAGTTTTCAAAAGCTTTCAGAGGCAGAAAAAAGTTTTTCAGAGGCTGAAAAAAAAGCAAGGCACAGAGCTCACAACCAATGAACCTCTTGCTAAAATTCACCTCTGGGAAAAGCTGATTGGGGGTATTTCAGGAGGCCGATCCACCTGCCAATCAGCTTTTTTTTTATTTTTCTCCCCAAAAACTAAGGTGTGTCCTATACTTTGGTGCGTCTTATAATCCGAAAAATACTGTAGTTTATCGCATTTCACTATAAATTATTTATTATTATATTTCTATACCACCTTTCTCCCGTAGGACTCAAGGCGGTGTACAGTCAACAAAAATATAGACACACAAACATCATAAAATTGCTAATTAAAATTGTTACTTAGTTTGGTCAATTAAATAAAACCCAGAATTAGATAATATTTAAAAAATCATTCGCATGTTTGTATGTTTAGCCCTGCCTGTTGGAACATCAGGGTCTTGAGGGCACGGCGGAAAGCACGGAGATCAGGGATATTCCATATCTCCGGGGGCAGTTCATTCCAAAGGGTTGGAGCCCCCACAGAGAAGGCCCTCCCCCTGGGAGTCGCCAGTCGACATAATTTGACTGACGGTACCCTGAGTAGTCCCTCCCTGTGAGAACGAACTGGTCGGTGGGAGGCTATTGGTGGCAAAAGACGGTCTCGTAGGTACCCAGGTCCTAAGCCATGGAGCGCTTTAAAGGTGATAACTAACACCTTGAATCGCACCCGGAAGACCACCGGGAGCCAGTGCAGCTCGCGTAGGAGAGGTGTTACATGGGCGTAACAAGCTGCGCCCATAATCACCCGCGCGGCTACGTTCTGGACCCGTTGGAGCCTCCGGGTGCTTTTCAAGGGGAGCCCCATGTAGAGAGCATTACAGTAGTCCATACGGGAGGTAACTAGGGCATGAGTGACCGTGCGCAAGGCATCCCGATTCAGAAAGGGACGCAACTGGCGGATCAGGCGAACCTGATAAAAGGCACCCCTGGCCACGGCCGTCAAATGATCTTCTAAAGATAACCGTGAATCCAGGAGGACACCCAAGTTGCGGGCCCTCTTTGTGGGGAGCAAGATTTCATCCCCTATTGTCAGTGATGGTACCAGCTGACTATACCGGGACGCCGGAAGCCACAGCCACTCGGTCTTGGAGGGGTTGAGTCTGAGCTTGTTTCTCCCCATCCAGATCCGCACGGCCTCCAGGCAACGGGACATCACAGCAAGGGCATCATTGGGGTGGTCTGGGGTGGAGATGTATAGCTGTGTGTCATCAGCATACTGATGAACACTCACCCCAAAACCACGGATGATCTCACCTAGCGGTTTTACATAAATGTTGAACAGAAGGGGTGAGAGGACTGACCGTTGCGGCACCCCACAAATAAGGTGCCTCGAGATCGACCTCTGCCCCCCTGCCAACACAAACTGCGAACGGTCAGAGAGGAAGGAGGAGAACCACCGAAGCACGGTGCCCCCTATTCCTAACCCCTCTAGCCGGTGCAGTAAGATACCATGGTCGATGGTATCAAAAGCCGCTGAGAGATCTAATAGGACCAGGATAGAGGAGCAACCTCTGTCCCGAGCCCTCCAGAGATCATCCACCAATGCGACCAATGCCGTTTCTGTGCTGTATCGTGACCTGAAGCCCGACTGGAACGGATCCAGATAGACAACTTCATCCAGGTATCGGGGTAGTTGTCGCGCCACCACACTCTCAACAACCTTCACAACAAAGCGAAGATTGGAGACTGGACGATAATTTGATAATATAGCCGGGTCCAGGGAAGGCTTCTTGAGGAGGGGCCTCACAACCGCCTCTTTCAAGGTGGCGGGAAAGACACCCTCACTCAGAGAAGCATTTATAATCCCCTGGAGCCAGCCTCGTGTAACCTCCCGGGAGGCCAGTACCAACAAGGAGGGACACGGGTCCAATAAACATGTGGCAGCGTTAAGCTTGCCCAGAATCCTGTCCACGTCCTCAGGAGCCACAGAGTCAAACTCTTCCCAGATAACGTTCTCAAGACCTGCCCCCATCTCCTCCCCTGGATCTACCCAATCGGAGTCCAGGCCTTCCCGAATCTGAGCGACTTTATCATGCAGGAATTGTACAAAATCCTCAGCTCGATCCTTTAAGGGATCTTCCCGTACCCCCACCTGAAGTAGGGAGCGGGTCACCCTAAACAGCGCAGCTGGGCGGTTCTCTGCAGATGCAATAAGAGCGGAGAAGTAGCTAGACTTCGCCGCTCTTATCGCCACTAGGTAGGTCTTAATATAAGATCTCACCTGTGTTCGGTCAGATTCAGATCAGCTTGTCCTCCAATCGCTCTCCAGGCGTCTTTTCCGACGCTTCATCTCTCTCAGCTCCTCGGAAAACCAAGGAGCTAGACGAGATTGGCATCGGGTCAGAGGCTGCAAAGGCACGACACGGTCCAAGCCCCCAGTAGCCGCCCTGTCCCAGGTGACCACCAGGTCCTCAGTCGAGTCGTGAGCCAGAGTCTCAGGAAATGGCTCAAGCTCCATCAGGAACCTTTCGGGGTCCATCAGGCGCCTGGTACGGAACCATTTGGTTGGTTCCATCTCCCTGCAGTGGGTGGAAGTGACTTGAAAGTCCATGTGAAGGAGAGAATGATCAGACCATGACAAGGGCTTGATGTCTATATCCCCTATTCTTAGATCATTCAGCCACTGATCAGAGACAAAAATCAAGTCCAGAGTGTGATTCCCCAAGTGGGTGGGGCCTTGAACTACCTGGGTCAGGCCCATGGCCATCATGGAAGCCATGAACTCCCGAGCCGTCTCCGACATCTCACCAGCAGATTAAAATCCCCCATAACAATAAGTCTGGGGGTTTCCACCGCCACCCCGGCTATAATGTCGAGCAGCTCAGACAGGATCGCTGTTACGTGGCAGGGAGCCAGGTACACAATCAGTAGGCCCATCTGAATCCCCTGACCCCACTTCACAAGGAGGGACTCACATCCGGCTATCTGAGGAACAGTGGCCTCCCTCGGGCAAAGACTTTCTCTAATGATTGCTGCCACTCCCCCACCCCTTCCCTGAGTCCTTGGCTGATGGAATGCACGGAAACCTGGCGGGCACATTTCCACAAGGGGAACTCCTCCCTCCTGGCCTAACCAGGTCTCCGTAATCCCTGCCAGGTCAGCACCCCCCTCTGAAATAAGATCATGAATGAGGGGGGCTTTATTTACCACTGACCTGGCATTACATAACATCAGCTGTAGACCCAGGGTCTGAGACTCTGAACAACCTGGGAAACGAGCAGTGCTTTGGGGGTCGGAGTGGGCAATCGCTCGTAAACATCGAGTGCGCACTCCTGAAACATAATATGGCCCCCTGCAGCCGTCATATCTGCCCCTCCCACTTACTATACTAATGCCCATCGCTTCATCCCCCTGCATCCTTGTCAGATTTGTCCCCATCCTCCCCACCATGATCATCAGACCCATTACCCCTTTCAGTGGATTTATGGATCCCCCCAGATCCATTCCCACAATCCCTCCCAGAACCCCTTAAAATAGAACTTAAAAGATTTATCTAAAAAACCCCAAAGCCGTCGGTTTTTTGCAAACCACCTCTCAGGATTCCAAAACCCGTCCTCAAGGGCGGCCCTTGATAACTGAAAGGGCCAGACATGTGAGAGAGGGGAATCTCGCAGTGCAAGGAGCTCCACAGTTGAATACATCAAAGATAGGAGCGAGTTGAAGGAGATGAAGGATCATTTTCTTCTAAGAGTGTTAGAGATGGTTAAGACAGGCAATTTAAAATAAGGGAGGAAATAGATGTAAAGGGGAGACCAGTAAGTTACAAATGTCAATACATCGGAACATCATCGCCCTCTCACGACGATGGGAAGTCTTGTGGTTGTAGTAAGTCCATCTAAAGGAGGTGGGGGTAGAGGTCTCAAAGGGTCGTCCTCTCACAGCGACCAAACCATTTGAAACAAACAAAGAGAAGGTGCTCTATCTCCCCATAATCCAAGACTCTCGATGTCTGTATCTCCTCCAGTCCTGATACCAGCGATGGCCGAGGATTAGATCAAAAAAGTAAGGCAGAGCCACTGGACAAAGTATTTAGGGTTAAATAATCAGGGTAATCTTGGGGGAATAGGTGGTAAATAAAGCTGCAGATCGATCTAAGATTGCAAGTTAACGCTGAGTGGTCGTAATAGATCTAGATCTGATAAAGGAGAGAGGGACAGTTGAGGGGAGAGTAAGTCATCATCTCCAATTTGTAATCCTCAGTCCCTATCCATCACCTTGCTCAGGCTACTTAGTTCAATTAGTTTAATAAGTCCTCAGAGTTTCAAGAAAGAGGAGTGCAACAGATCCCTAGAGGTTGAGGGGATCCTAACATTTATAGCCTTTGCAGCATTGCCCTCTCCTCTATTAACAACGAGGGCTTCCTTGCAGCCTCCTGGTGTTGCCGTTGCCATTGCTGCCATTAGCGCCATTCCCTTCGCCATTGTGGTAACCCCCCTTGCCATAGACATCATCGCCGCCATGTTGCTACATGCAGCGCCTATTAGCCCAGGCATCATTATCAACACTCTATCTGGAGTCGCTGTTGCCACCGTC